TTTTTATCTGTTCACTAAATGGTAATGTACCATCAATACGCCGTTGTCGATGAAAAGGTTCAATATGAACTGAACGATTATGTTTTGAATTAGGATCATCTTCTTCTTCAATATTATCATTCACATCATTATTCTCATCAATATTTAAAGTTTTCAATGATAAAGATTGCATTGAAAGCAAAATCTGAAAAATATTCAATCTATCAAATAGTAGCATCAAAATAACGCGAATTTTTATATTTATAATGATAGATTAAAGAAGTACATGGTGAGGGTGATGTGTAAGATAGTATAACTGATCCGAAATGATCAAGTATGATTGTGTTATTTGGTACACAACTCATTATCAACGATATCACTTCAAATAAATTAAATTAGCATTTGTTCGTTATTTCGTTCAAAAACATTTCATATATTTCCTTATCCAATCATCCTTTTGTATATAATCTCTTTTAACGAATGCACAGGTGTGCTATATTTTCGTTCTGTATTAAGAATAACTACATGATTTTTTCGAATGCTTCATTAGTTTTATCGATTATAAATAAATAGGAACAAACCCTACTAACTCATATATATATATTTAAGTCTTAGCTGATAAATAAAACTATGTGAAAGTTATGTATACTCTATAAAGAAGAATATAAGATAGTTGAGATTTTAAACTGAAGTCCTTATCAATATATTACACGGCAAAATAAATGATTGTACTTATGTTGAGCAATATCAGAAAAGATATTTTAGGCACCTATTATAAACCATTACCGGCAAGTGCATGAAATTCTCTAAATAAAAATTCAGGTATCTTGCTAGTATCTCGTGTTATAGAACTCTTTAAATACCCATTTTTTGTATTACAAATTTTTGGATCAATCCAGAATACTTCTTATTGTTTAATCAACTATATTGGGAATTTCTGAATCTTATGTTTTGCTATAGTTTGTTAGATCTTTACTATGGATTGCAGTAAAATCTAAGATTTAAACTAAATTCGTGGTTCTTTTTGTAAAAAAAAACAAATTTTAAGTTTTATTTATAATCTAAAATAAACAGAAAAAATTTGACGAGTCAATTGTAACAAGATTTTCTTTCATTAAATCTTAAGTGTTACCATTGGTCGGCTCGCTTAAATATTGAATCATATATTAATTTCCTTTCAGCATATAATGACATCTATCATTTCTCTAGGCGACCAGCTTTCTATATATCGGCTGGTGTTTTGTTCTCATATAGAATAACAAGGTTTGTAAACAGAAATAAACAAAAAATGCAGTTGTTTAGTAATTTGATTTTTTTCCTTCTTATATATAGTAATAAAATCATTTACAAAACTTTAATTAATTAAAAGAACAAAAATTCTATTTGAAAAATTTTTTATTTTTTAGTTGTGTTTTTTTTCGTTGTCTTGTCTTTTTCCTGCGATGATCGTTATTATTGTTCGTCAATATTCGTTTTCGTCTCGTTTATTAATGTATTTATCTGAACAAATTATCAATCATAACTCATGAATACGTCTACAAATCTCGCAACATCACCATCATCATCTTCATCAGTTCCTATTTCAACATTAAATCTTGATAAACAAGAACCTGATGTTGATGCAATTAAAATGTTCTGTGGACAAATTCCACGTAATATGAATGAATCAGAATTACGTGAAATATTTGAACAGTTTGGTCCTGTCTTTCAATTAAATATTTTACGTGACAAACAAACTGGTGAATCAAAAGGTTGTTGTTTTGTTACGTATTATACGAGAAAAGCAGCATTAGATGCACAAAATGCTCTACATAATTTACGTACATTAAATGGTAGTCATCATCCAGTACAAATGAAACCAGCTGATACAGAAAATCGTAATGGTAATAAAAGACAAAACAAAAATATTCTTTATTATTCATTTTTTTTGTTATTATTTTAGAACGAAAATTATTTGTTGGAATGGTATCAAAAAGCTTTGATGAACAAAGTATTCGTGTACTTTTTCAATCGTATGGATCTATTGAAGATTGTACAATACTTCGAGATGCTAATGGGAAAAGTCGAGGTAAAAATTAAAGTTTAATACGAAAAAAAACAATTCACTCTGTAAATATTTACTAATTATAGGATGTGCTTTTATTACATTTCAAAAACGTCAATGTGCTATAAATGCAATAAAATCTATGCATCAATCTCAAACAATGGAGGTTAATATTTTAAATTTTATTTGATTTAATAATTTATTCAATTATCTATTCAGGGTTGTTCATCTCCACTTGTTGTTAAATTTGCTGATACACCAAAAGATAAAGAAACAAAAAAAATTCAACAACAATTTCCAAATTATAATAATGTTCTCATGCAACAAATGACTCCTGGAAATTCAATAGTAATATATATTTATTATTTGTTTAGGCTTAGATTTAATAATTCATTTTTTTGCTTTCTAGCCTAATCCGCAACATATGAACACATATAATTTTATACCGGAATTGAGTAATTTAGTATTTCTTCAACAATTATTAAAGAATTATGGTTTTATTGGTAACAATGGCAATAGTAAGAATTCAATAAAAGAATAGACTTTTTATTAATATTTTTTTTAAGCTATTAATTTTCCAGCATTGAATAATCTATTACAAATGTTTACAAATAATATGAATTTAAATCCGAATAAGCTACCTATATTAGTACCATCGAATTCATCATCAAATATGACTTCAAATTCTCAAAATGGAAGTAATCAATCATTAAATCTTCACGAACAACAACAACCACAACAACAACATACACTTAATTCACCTCGATCACCATTATCATCAAATTCAAATAATACTTCGTATAATACTGATTCTTCTGTACTTATGTGTGGATTAAATACAAATAGTCCACAAAATACTCATATTAATCCAAATAATAATTTAACATCGACTATATCAACATCCAATAATAATCTTTATCCACCTACAATGCCTCCAGTCTATGCCAATAATGTTAATTCATTAGCAAATGCCAGTGCAGGTTAGTTCATATTCAATTATTAACTTGACTTTTAATTTAATATATACGATTTAGATGCTCATCATAATCTACAAAATCTTGTTGCAATGTCTCAAGTAAATAATGGAGGTAAAAACTGAAAATTTTATTCATTACAATTCCTAATCAATTATAATTAAAAGGTCTTTTATCAACAACAAATCCATCTGCAGCAGCAGCAGCTGGTATGTCTTATCTAATTATTCACTAAACTAATATCTAAAAATATAGATTAAATCATTACAATTAAAGAATACAGAAACGATAATAATTTTAAAGTAATGTAGTCTCGATTGATTCATCAATAGAACTTATAAATATTAGACAGAAATTTTTCTATTACATACGATTTCTAATTATTAGTATATGATAAAGCAACAAGGGTTGCATCATATAAACAGAAAACTTACAATTACAAAATAAATTTGAATTATACATATGTAAGGATGCTCAATGATTTGCTATAACAGTATGAAAAAATTGTAGAAAGAAATATAGAACTACTTAATACAGATAAAAATTCTTTGAATTTATAATCTTCTATTCTAGCTTCGTTTCCTGTTTTTCCATCATCATCATATATATCTTCTCAAGTAGCTGGTAAACATACTGAAGGTTTGTTTTCAATCAATTTTTTTCTGAGTTCCTTTAATATATATTATATTTTTTTACAATTAGGTCCGGATGGTGCAAATCTATTTATTTATCATTTACCACAAGAATACAGTGATACAGATTTAGCTCAAGCTTTTGCACCTTACGGACCAATTATATCTGCTAAAGTATTTGTTGATAAAACAACAAATCGAAGTAAATGTTTTGGTAAATATTTTGTTTTTTTGTATTGAATATTTTTATTAACGTTCATTTCTTTTTTCAAGGTTTTGTTAGTTATGATAATCCAGCATCGGCACAAGCAGCTATAAATCAAATGAATGGTTGTCAAATTGGAATGAAACGACTTAAAGTTCAATTAAAAAAACATCGCATTGAAACAAATAATAACTTAAATAGTCCAACTAGCAATCAGATTCAAGCAACTATCAATAATAGTTCAAACAATCATAATGGAAATTCACCTTCAACATCAATAAAATCTTCCTATTAAATAGATTTAGTATGTTTATATATACATATATATATGTATCGTTTATTTCTTAAACGTTTTTATTTCAAATATACGCACATATTGTTGTTTTTATTGTCTTTGTATTATATCTATTGTCGTTATATTGACTAACAAAAGATATATTAACACTTCGTTTGCATGATTGTATAAGTATATTTGTGGAATTTCTTTCTATTACTCTCTTTTTTCTTTGCAGTGTTATCTTATAGATTCTTTTTATTGTTATTATTAGTCTTGAACATTTTACATATTTTTTTTTTCTTATTTAACTTCTTCTCTTTTTTTTTCTTTTCTTTTAAAGCGAAACTATATGCCTAACTATCTTTTCTCGTTTCTCTTTATTCAGTGTTCGGTTTTTAACTGTATGTTTTTTGATCGTTGATTGTTTATCGTTGTTGTTTTTCTGTATTGAAATAACACGACTATTATAACGAACAGAAACTAAAAAAACAAAGAATCCCAAGTTTTTTTTGCTTCTAATGACAAATGAAAAATGTAAGAATGGTATTAATAATAATCGAATAAAAATCTCCTTTGTCATGCTTCATTCATGAGATTCATTTCTAGTAAAGGATTATTTTGTTGTATATAGAAGGGTATAAAAATATTGTTGAAGTTTTTCTTAGACTTGAGTGATCGATATAGCAATTGATATTCTCTATGCGTAACCTTGAAAAAAACGGTGTCAATTTTTCGATATATTTACTTTAAAATACAATAGAACAAATTGTTGAATGTAGGATAATATTAAGTTTTAATAAATGCGAGTTTAAATTGAAATTGAATTAATATGTATTGGGTTAAAAATATTAGTTTTTAGAGAAAAATAAAAATCCCTGTTTGAAAATTATTAAATTGGTAAATCATTTTTTTCGTCTTTAACTGAAGTATCTTGATTAACCATATGTTTACGTGTTAACCAATGATTTGGTATAAGAACATCACCTAAATCATCGAAAGATTGTTTCACTGAAGAAACAACTTCTGAAACAGTTAATATTGGTTTAATTTCATATAGATTTTGCATTTCCGAAATAATATAATTCTCATTCGAATCATAATATTGACTACCATCTTTCTCTGATTCAATATCATCAACATCGTATTCAGATCTAGATAATTTTTTTGTGAGACGTTTCATTCTATATAGAATAGGAATTATAAAATATAAGTAATTTTTGAAAAACTTACCCTAAATAAGTTAAACCCGTTCCAATAATGGTAATTAAAATAGATCCAATTATCATACCAATTATATAAGAATAATTACATGTGACTGTCATATCTATGAAAGTTATACAGTAGTAATTAAATATATAATAATTAATCAAATTACAAACTTTTATTTGATTCTTCTTCTGCAACAACTAAGTTTTGTAAAATGAAAAAAAAACTTATGATGATAGTTAAAAACATCATTTTCAATCAAATAAATGCTTTCGTTTTTTCTTCTTATATATATATATGTACCTGTAAGTTAATAATTTCATCATCAGTCGAATATATGCTGATTCTATCAAGTGAATATTATATAGAATTGATCAACAATATTTGCTCTTGGCAATAAATTATTTTTCATTTGGGTAATTACTATTGAATGAATGAAAAGTAACGACTTTATTTTGTCCTTGTTATGAGAAAGAAAAACAAGAATATATTTATCTACTCATTAATCTACTCTATTTCGATGATATATTGAGAAGTTTTACATAGAAAGAATATATTATTACTTGAAATATCTTAATCAATAAACATCTAATGCATTCATGATTTTTTTAAGTAAAATTGTTTCAAAGACGTAATTTCAATTAGATCTCTCTTATGTGATATATATATATATTCAAGATTGTTCAAAGAGAATGAACTGTAAAACTTAGAAAAAGCAATGAGAGTGCGTATGCAAGTATTTTTTTTCTTTCATCTACCCACATCCGATTTTCGTGACATAGGTTATAGAGTAACTTTATTCAAATCTTCGAATTCGTGTCCATTAGCATCAATCGAAAACCGGTTAAGAAAAACACCATGGAATCATCTTGTAACAAGTGAAAAATTCTTATTGATGTTGGCAATTTCAGTTCGTTTGATCTGCATCTGGCAGCGATATTTAAATTTCTTATCAATATGTTATTTATAGAACATTCTGTACATTTGATTTTCATATCATAAATGAAGAGAAAAAAAGCAATGGTAAAACAGTCATCACATCTTTCGCCAACAGGATGATATATATATTTCGAGATTACCTATAATAAAAACGATGAGAAAGTATCTTTTTCTTTGTGACCATATAGCATCACTGTGTCAACGCAAATGACTGCATAGATTCTCCTCGCTGTTGACGGTAAGTTGCCAAGCAATCAAGACCATAGTCATCGATGGGCGTTGTTGCATCTTTTCGAAGAATTTGGATGAGAGTATGACTTTGATCCGAATACTGGTATGAAAAGTAAATAGTTTCATTATCTTCATGATAGAATTGATTACTATATTCAGTTTCAATCATCGGACAACGAAATACTTTGGCATATGCCTCAATGACTTGGTCATAATTTGGACGCTTTTGATCGTAAAATAATCGAATTGAAATGTGAAATAGCTTTTCATTCATAAACAAAAAGCAGATATATATGGTGGAATAAATTTGGTGATTTGATCGCCAAACTGACTTAATGTAACCAAAAATATCTAACAACATCGTGTTTGTATTCGGTAGCTTGTGGTAATGTGTTCCACTGTGTTGTACGAAACTGTCGTGGAAGGTGAGTATTAATATTTTGTGGACTATCTCCAAATTGAAAATTATCGAAATCTGGCTTCCATATTTCCGATACGATTATTGACTCTTCTGCTACCATGGAATGACTAATTTGATTGTCGTCTAATAAACTGTCTACTTTTTCAGGAAGATGTGTGGATATTATCGAGCTTCTTATGTTCTTCTATGATTACGTATTTACTAGTGAATATTACTTCCTGATTGCGTTGAACATATAAATATAATTGTCCTTTTTACCAACAAGAAAAAAATACGTGAAATATAAGAAAGAAATCAAGGTTTTTTGCTATCGTTACTGCATGCATTATTTCTTGAATGAGTAATTATGTGTCATGAGTGAGTGAGAGGGTGTGGGTGTGGGTGTGGGTGTGGGTGGGTGTGGATGTGGGTGGGTGTGGAGGTTGTTGAAGGTGTGAATTGATCGTGTTTAGAACACCCACACCTACACCCACACTCACCCACACTCACCCACACCCACACCCTACCAGATATCCATCCCAACATAAAACTAAACTCTTATTGTTCGGGAATATACACGAACAGTAATTGGCGTTTGCTCTTCGAACAATTACAACTAATCATAGGAGTAAACAACCATCAAACTCGCTCGCTCCAAAACCGCGCAAAAACGAAACGGAAACTGACACTCCTCATTTTCTACTTCCACCGGAGCACATATCATGAAACCAAACTAATATTGCTGCCGGGCAAAATAAAAAAACTTACTGAAAACTTATAATGATCAAAGCAAACACCAGCAGAACTTGTTCTAACTAAACCAGACCGGTTATCGGAAGATGTAGGTTCGAGTCCTACTCTGGATTTATAATCCTTATTTAATAAGTTTCTCATACTTATTAATGCGTATCTGTGGATGCATACGTTTCGAAATTTAAAAGACTCTCGTTGTGGATAAATCCTACAGATTAATAGTTAGAATTCTTTAACATAACTAATTCAAACACACCCTCACCCTCCGTAATATCTATTATTCACTGATCAAAATTCTAGCTTTCTATTGATAAAATTGAAAATTTTTACTTTTACTTATATGTAATAAATAGATCATTTTACAATGACTTGTTGATGACTCCAATACTGACCATCCAATATTCACACTGACCGTATACATATTTTCTTACTAGTCATTTTATTTATTACATTTATCACATCAATGTTATAGTCCGGAAAAATATTTGACATCTACGTTCATATTTACTTTCTTAAACATAATATCTACTTGGATTTACTGATGATGACTTGTTTTCTATCAAACCTTTCTTTCTTGACAACCATTATTCAAATTGTATTTCATAATATAATTAAGACTCGTACTTTATTTAGTTAATAACAATTTTACAAAAGCGTTTCATGATTAAGCAGTTTAATTACAACATCAAAATTTATAAATTTAGTCAATAAATGAAAATATTGTTCTGTCGATTTCAATCAATAGAGCTCTGCACTGTTGAGAAAACCACTATAAACAATTCCACCAGCAACTAATACTGTTCCATTTCCTAATACAGATGCTGTATGATAGTATCGTGCGAAATTC